CTACGGCGATAACCTACGAACCTCCTCGTCCCTTCTTCTACGCGACGCCAGATGCCTCCACCTTCTCCACCGCCATTATTATTGTTGTTGTTGTTATTATTATTATTATTATTATTATTATTATTATTGTCCGCGGCCTCTTTCCTCTTCACGGGTTTCGCGGGACCGCGAGGACACCGCCACCACCACCCTCCCCCGCTAAGAAGAATCCCGCGCAACGTGGATTCTTGCGCGGTAAGGTCAGATGATGACTCACGAGATATTTCCGGAAGGGATAATAGGTGGTCTGCATTATTCAGGACCCGCGCAGGACCTGGGAACGAACCGAGTTGCCCCTCGCGTTTCATCGCGACCATTGCAAAAATTGCGGTTTGTCGATGATGTGAAAACGATTCGAGGGATCCAAAGAGGCCGAGCCCTCGATCACCGAGCCAACCGCTGAATACGATTCGGCGTTGTCGGTTTTACGCGAAGCATGAGTGGATCGAGGAGCAGGAGGATGACGGCTTTTTGGGAATTTATTTATTTTGGCCGAGTCTTTAATTTCTTTAATCTTGTCGGTGCGTAGGCTATATTGCATAATAATCTTCTGAGATTGTTATTATAAAATTCTAACCTAACTTTTAGACTCGTTAATTTCTTGTTGGTACATGGAAGAGTGAGGGCTTCGAGGATGATGGAATTTTCAAAAATCGGGTAATAAAATCGTTCGAGGAGAAAATATTTTGAGGTTGTCACGAAATTCTAACCTAACTTTTAGACTCGTTAAATTCTTGTTGGTACATGGAAGAGTGAGGGCTTCGAGGATGATGGAATTTTCGAAAATGGGGAAAATAAAGTGGTTCGGGGAAGAGGACGATTTCGATGGAGAACAAGTTGCATCGCTCATGAAATTTTTTCCGCTTTGTCCGGTTCTGAAAATTACGACCGGTTTGCACGATTCCGCGCAACAAAATGCGTATTCCCGTGGCAATCGTGTCCTGTTTCGTGAACGAGGATAGCCAAGTTTTTGCCGGATCGGTGATTATGCGAGCCTCAGCTTCGTTGATTGCGCCGATAATCAAACTCGGGAGCCCAGTTTTTGTCAATTGGACGAGAGTTACTCGTGCGCTTGTGAAAAATTGAACCGATGGCAAGTAAAATTAATAACTGTGATAAAGTAAGAAGCTAAGAATAGCGGCTACGACGTCCGAGTTTTTCGACTTCGGTTCACTTATTTAATCTAAACGTAAAATTGTCGCGTTTTTCGCGTTATTTTCTAACATCTCTCGTTTTCTTTCCATCCCGAACGAAAATGAAACGCGTTGGAAACGAAAATGACGGAATCGCGTGGCCGATCCGTGCACACCCATTCCTCCGAGTGGTCATTTTTCGAGGTGAAACAAAACGAGAATCGTCCATTAACCGCACGATAGGGTGGAAGATGTCGATGTACCATCGCGTGTGAGAAACGCGGTAAACGAAGATCCTCTCTCGTAACACGTATGCGGTGTTTCTCCTCACTTTTCTTATCAATCAAAGAGAAGAACGATCCCTTTGCGAGTATCGTATTAATTTCGAATCAAGTTTTATATGTATAGAGATTTCACGTGTTTCGTAACTCCATAAACTGTTCGTTGAACAGTGTTTGAACCGTGTTTGAATGGAACGATTTATTAATTATTAATACAAAATGTGGATACATGGAGGAAAATTTAATACGATATAAAACGTTGGAAAAATCGATTTCATATTATAAATTTATATACCATTTGAAATTATTAAAATTATTACCATTAAAATGATAATTAAAAATTTATACTTACGGCAAATTCTCGCGAGTTGTAAATTGATGAAGTTGTTAAAATAGTCACAATTTTATATGTTCGATTTGCAGCTCGTGTCGTGAAACGTTCGAACGTCTGGAAGAATCGTTCGTAGCTGCACTTTCCAGACGGATGAGCCGTCAATCAGACTTGGCCTCGATAAAACGTTTTTTAATAACCTTTCCTTACAGCCAATTGACAAGTTGAAAGGCGGCTCAAGAAAACGTTGTAAATATCTTCCGATGAAAGTACTGTCGATATGAGATTAAGACAGAGTTTGAGATGTCGGTCACAGAGAGAGAGAGAGATATCGTTCTCGTTTCACAATTTTAACCACATCGAATCTTATTGAAAAATCTGAATTTTCGATATCACTCTTTCGCAATTAGCGGAAAGGAAGAATAATTAATTTTATATAATAATAAAGTACAAGACGATCGTGTAACGATCTTTATTTCTCATTAATATAAATTCCACAATTAATATTACAGAATAATTAGCAATAAAATTGTCATTCGCATCATTTACAAAACTCATCCGACTCATTTCCAGATCAAACGCCATATCAAACTCTTTCACTTCTCCATACACACGTACACGTGCTTCACTCTGAATAATCTGAATAGCAAAATAACAATGACAACAATAATAATAATAATAATAATAATAATAACATTTAATACGCGAAAAGGGAAATCGGGTGTATGAAGGAGGTGGAAATTTATTTCACAATTTACATTTCACCGGTGGAAACGGTTAGACAACTGTGTTAACCCGCGCACAGGGGCATCCCTTTTCCCGTCACTGATGATTTACCACGGAAGCGCGGTACCCCGCGTTTAAAGCTGCTTTCCACGTGTCGTAGGCCTGTAAGTTATGCTCGCGCTGTATGGAGACGTAAGTGGCTGACGCGGTCATTCTCGCGCCTCGTGGATAAAATTCTTCCTCGCTCGCCTCCAACGCTCGTCGAGGTAGGCGTCGAGGGGGGGAAAAAATCTGGTAAATTATCGTCCAACCCTTTTGCAACGTTGCCGGAAGAGATAGGCTGATTTACCGACACCCGATTTAATTGCGGACGCATTAACTGATTCGTTGGGAATAAACTCGACGACCAACAACTCTGAATTATCCGTCGTTTTATCGCGTCACGTCATTTGAACGATGATTATCGTTGATTGATTGTTCGTGTTTCTTATATTTGTCGCTTGTTTGTTGCTTGCGGGTAGAATTCGATCAATTTGATTTATTCAATTATCCTTGAGGATTCTCTAAAAATATCTTCTTATCTTGGAAAGTAGATATGGACACACCTACTTCGATATTTACTCGCTTACGAAGGCAGAAATGCATCGAATAATGCGACGATGTATAACTATTTACCTTTCAATTAGTCTTTAGTCCGCTATAAATAAAACTCTCGAGGTATTGGCGATAAAATGCCGATCGAGGAATTATTCGGTTAAAATGCGCGAGGATAATTCGTTTCGTCTCTTCGTTTGGAATATCGATTGGAAATCTGTTGAACCCGGAGTCGTGTGGATCAATAGAAAAAGAATTTGATAAAAAGAAGAGAGAGAGAGAGAGAGAGAAATGGACACAGGAGGGAATTGGAATTGGCCGCGTGCCGAGTATCTCTTCCTCGATATCTTTTATTTCTCCACGCTTATAAGGAAACCGGTACCACGTAATTACCTTGAGATACCGCTACAATGTTATCACACCCTTCCTTCTCCACTCTTTGTCGTATCTCGTGAGCCGAGATAAAGATCTTGGCTTCGTCCGTCTTTATAAAGCGGTTTGACCCGGGACCTTGACACTTGATTTCAAACCGCGTCCTTTCTTCGTTGCACTCCGTTGTTACTCCGGGTAAGACGACTCCTACTTTCTCCTCCTTTCGTGTCAAAAGGTTTACTCAAAAGAAGTCGAGATATACGTATTTTTCAAGCATCACGATAAGCGTGTAATATGGGATAGATACATTAGATTGGAAGATGTTAATTTCAATTACATTCATTTATTTTTATACCTGTTGAATATCTTTTATCGTAAACGATAAAGCTTTTAGCTATCGTTGGATTTTAAATAATACACGTTGCAAATATATCGGTGAAACGTTCCAACTTTCTCCTAAAACTCCTCTCCAATATCTGATCGGAAGTTCAAGAACGATAAACGAGCACTGACTGTTCTTGGACGCTAACGGTACTCATCCGATCCTTTCTCCTTCTCCTGCCGCTGTGTTCACACGATGAAAGTATCTCTGCTCGTTCACGTGCACGAAGCACGAGCTCGACCTAAAACCTACCCGATCGACAAATTCTTCTTCTCTCGTAAATTCTCTCCATCAAGCTATCTTATTCGATAAATTCCATCCAAAGTTTCAACGTTCGACGAAAATTTAAAAACTTGGGATAAATTTTTCTCCTAGGAAGGAAGAACGTACGATTAAAATCCTAAACAAACTCGATCGATCTGATTCGCGCGAATTTTCGATACGCGGAAATTTTAATCGTCGTGAATTCGTGAAATGTGACGTGAAAAGGAAAAAACCGTGGCGTGAAGGAACCGTGAGGTAACGGTACAGGGTCGATGGAACGGATATAAAAAGAGACGAGGAGAAAAGTAAAAAGGACAACAAGTCGGCGATCCGCCGATCTCGAGGAACCGTTCATCTCGTAACTGTTCCTCTTTGGGCCATGGTTTCTCGCCCAATCCGAATCCCGATGAATTATAACATCGATTTTTAACGATCGATGCAAACCGTCTACTTTTTCCTCGGATTTCGTGAGCTAGAATGAGTTTCTGGAAATAATAGCGCGGTAATCGCCACGTTTAATCGTTTCATACTCGTTGATCTGTCGCGTGTATCTACGGGGAGAGGAAAAAACGAGAAGGAGTTTGCATTCGTGTAACAATTATCCGTGTTTCTCGAATCAAGGATCCGTTTACAGTCGGTCTACTGAACTTTCCCTACACGAATAGTGCCGGAACGAGGCGGAATTGCACTCTGGTTGGCGCTCTCTACCGTTCAATTCACGGCGAATACAATCTCTAAAAACGAGCATAACAATTATCAATGGACAAACTAATATCCATCGCATAATGTATCGGTACATAATTGAAATGTATCGTCCATCTCTTCTCGAAGAATCTCGAATTTTTAAACTGACGAACGAACGCTGCGTTTGCTTGCAGAGTCCTCGATCGGCGATCATCGTCGGATGTCCCCGCAGGCCGAGCCACCGTCGTCCAAGGCGAAGAGGGAGCAAGCGCTGCGCAACATCCTCGCGGCGAGGAGGCGGCAGATCTTGAGCCAGCGGCCGATCGAGTCTCGATCGAATCTGAACCGTACGCCGAGACCGTTGGACGGTCGGCGAAAGACGCCGACGTTCTCGAGGCCCAGGAGACGAGGCACGGGATGTACGTGACCGCGGCTGCGGGCAAACCGGGATGGACGAAGAAACGGGCAGAATCGAGGCAACGTCGAACAGAGACGTGGACATCGAGTTCGTGTCGAAGGACGAAGAGGAAGAAGAGGAGGAAGACTCGTTGTCCTATCCACCTTCGTCCACCACGTTCTCGTCCCTCGGCCAAAAATCGTCGGACACGGAGGCACGTGTCAGAAAGAACACGGTCTCTATGCCCGAGTCGCTCTACAACTACTTCAGGCCTGTGGAGAGCAACATACCGGTCGAGGACATGTCGCAATTCCTCTATTTCGGCCAGAAGATTCAACCGGAGAATGCCACGGTTCATAACAGTAACAATTCGGTGGAGTCGACGCCCACGGCGGCAACCGCCTCCAGAAGAAGGTATTCGATGAAGAGAAATTTCGGCACGACGACACCGATCGCCAAGCTCGAGGAGATGGTCAACGAGGAGATGAACATCGCGGTGGAACGACAGACGGTGGAGAAGAACAAGGTGTCGAGGATGAAGAACGCGTTCAGAAGCCCGGAGAACGGGGTCTACTACAGGAAGGCGACGAACGTCGCCTCGAACGTTATTGGAAACGGTACCGGTAGATCGGACCCTGTCGCGGACAAGTTTCGCGACGATAACCAGCCGCGGCGCGAGAGGGGAGGAAGCGCTGCCCACGTGCTTGAAACGAGGAATGCGACCGACTCGACCCAGATACCGACCGGCCAGATACCCGTTTCCGCGTACGAGGAAGAAAGTGAAATCGAGCCGAAAGATCGTCCCACGGACGCCTCGAGCAAACCCGCGTCCCCGAACGGCGTGGAGAGCGCGAAACCGTCCAAAGCTTATCCTCGAAAGAGGAAGAACAACGACGTCCCAACGTCCATCCCGACGTCTACCTATCGTCTCGAGGAGGACGCGGGATCCTCGAATCCACCTCGAGAGTCCACCTCGTTGGACGGGGAGAAGGAAAAGCCTCGAGGGACGATCGACGACGAAACGAGCCATCGACGATCGACCCTAGCTTCCCGCGAGAGCAACAACATCGAGACGTCGACGTCGAGGGAGAAGCTCGGCCGAGCCTCGACCGAGCCGTGGACGTCGCCGGAAACGTCCACCCTCCGCATCGTGGTGACGGAAGGAAGGCTGGACGAGTATACCGTTAAACCGGCCGATTCCACGGAGGAGCGGGGAAGCCTCGACGTTCCCAATCCTCCCGCCGAATCGAGGGGAGGGATCGAGGCGCGTTGGAAGGGGCGAGACGAAGGTGCGTGGACGCGGGATCGAGAGGAACAGCAGCAGCACCAGCAGCAGCAACAGCACGTGTACGCTTACACGATAACGAACGTGACGCGGCTATTGCGCAACTACACCGGACCTGGGTTAAGCAGAAGGGAGGAAGAAGGAGAGGCGAGCACAGGTACGAGCGAGATAAGGAGCGGGCCGCGGCGGCTACAGCCGCAGGAGCAGCGAGAGCCAGAGCCGCGGCCGCCACCGCCGCCTCTTCTGCCTCCTCGTGGCGGCGGCGCGGCGGGTATAGTAGAGGCAGGGCGAGCACCGGCGGAACTCAGTGCCGGCACGACCGTCGAAGCAGCCGCAGCCGGTGGCGAAGCTTTGGCTCAGTTGGTGGGGGAACGGCAGAGGAAAGCGGTGGTCGCAGTCGGTGCGCACCACCAGTCGCAGCGCGCGGCCAACAGAGGAGCGCAGTCGCAGCCGACCGGCGTAAACAAGAGCGGGCCGAGGTCGGGCAAGACCGCGGAAGCGTATCAATCGAGGGGCGCCGTGCGTTGGAATCCGAAGCCGAGGAGCGCGGAGATCGAGGGCCCGAACGACAGAGGTCGTTTTCTCAGGAAGTCGGCCAGCGCCGTGTTGAATCAGAGGGCTGGCCCCGAGGGGGAGGAGGACGGGGCAGCGGCGGGGAAGAGGAGGAGGTTGACAAATGGCCAGAGCCAGAGGAGGATCAAAGGGACGACGACGACGACGAGGAACGTAGGAGGCGAGGATTCGGCGAAGAAGAGCGGTTCCACGGCCGGGGAGGGGAGGAATTCGAGGCTGGAGGAGGATGCGACGAGGAGGATCGTGAACGGGACACGTGGAGAGGGCACGATTTTGGAAAACGCGACGGTGGACACGAGCGGTGGTGACGCGATGCAGCGAGGGAAAGTATCGTTCGCTCCCTCCCTCCTGGAGGAGGAGGAAACGGTCGATCTCGAGTCGATCGGCGGTGGTGGTGGTGGTGGTGGTCTTCCTCCGACAACGGTGAACGCGACCGCGGACGGAAGCGGCGGTGGCAAGGTGACGGAAGCGGTGACCGCGAGCGCGTTCGACACCAAAGACGAGAGCGGGCGGGCGAGCGAAAAGGAAAGCGGTATCGGCGCGGACAATGGTGCAGGGAACGATTGGCCGACCGTGACAATGACCGCGGCGGCCGACGACGAAACGATCGCGCCCAAACAGACTACCACGCCGTTGCCGGCCCCCGTTTTCCCCGTTACGCCTAGAATAATCGCGAAAGCGGGCCGAGACCCGATCGAGACTTTCACCTCGAACCCGACCGAGGCCCCGACCCGAGTCACGGATACCAAAACGGTCGATTCTCCCGTCGTCGATACGGGAAAAGCGGCGCACGAGTCCAAGGATCGCGGGATCACGACCGTGGCCACGACCGGTGCAACCTCGTCCACCACGGAAGCGTCGATCACCACCACCACCATCACCACCACCACCACGTCCTCGCCCACCGTGCAAATAGAGATCTCCACGATTCCCCAGGATCGTGAAAGCGCGACGACCACCGTCGATTCGAGGAGACCTTTCGAGGCTCCTTCTCCTTCGATCTTGGCTGATTCGGATTTGGAGTCCGGTGGCGGGCGAGGGTCCGCCGAGAGGTCACCGGAAGTGAGGGGGAGGAATCTGTCCGACAAGTCGCAGGACGCGTCCACCGACAAGGACGACGTGCTACCCATAATGCATCTGTACAACACATCGGACATCTTCAACAACACAGGCCCGGTGAACTCGTTCTCCCGGGGGACCGAGCGACGAGTGGAGCAGCCGTCGAAGCAGTCCTCCTCCGAACCTTCGAGAACGAGCGAGAGAAGCGACGCGACCACCCCGAGGAGCGCGGAGAATTGGACGCGCGGCCCGGAAACGAGGAGGCACGAGGAGGTTCCGGCGACTGGACCGGGCAGAGGAGGATCGTCTATGGGCAATCGTACGAGGCACAGGAGCACCGTGTATCATCATCCGATTTTGCCCGAGTACAACACGTCGGTGTTGTATCCGACGAGCGAGTTGAACAGGACGTTGTTCGAGACCGGGCTGATTTCGGTCAGTCCAAGGGAGTCGGTGAATATCAGTGAAGTGATATCGAAGAGACACGACGGGGACGCGATCGCGTCCCAGGAGACGGTCGCCGTGGTCAGCTACATCCTCGCGACGTTGGTCGTGTTTCCGATCGCCGTCGGCGTTGGCCTAATTCTCAGAAGACTGATACTTAGGAATCGTAAGGTGAGCGATCGAAGAATGATTTGAACGGTGGTGGGTGTTTAGGGATTAGAAGTAGTGTACGTATATATATATGGGTATGTAATGTATATAGGCCATTCGAAAGTGGCGTATGTTCGATGTCAGACTCTCCGTTTCGGTTGGTTATTCGTGTCGATGAATTCCTTCCTTTTTTAAATTTCATCATCAGCTTCCACCGAGCTTCTATTCTTCTTTCGTATAATCGATGTAGAATCTTCTACGATTCCACGTGCCCGCAAGATTCGGACACTGAATCAGAGTCGCAAAAGTGGACAAAAACGTTTCTTTCTCCCCTTCGAACGAAATTCGACCGACTATCCGTTTGATGGACGCGAGGATCTGAAAGCGATGCTCCCAGCTGCGCGAAGGGAGGCCATTCGAAATGGTATCCTTGAGCCGCTAAACGTTTCATTTTTATTCGGCCGTGATTCCAGTCCAGAGGCGGGTGTAATTTCCTCTCGGCCCTTCTACTCCTCCTCCTCCTCCTCCTCCGCCTGCTGCATTATCCGGGCAAAAACTTTGATTTACGATTGTGTACCGTAAAGCGTATCTGGCCGATGATCGCTAAATCGAAACGCGAATTGTATAGCACCGCCACTTATGTACCGTTACGCGGTATCCCTTTGGATTATCGTCGACCGTCCCGGGCATTTATCATCCGGCCATTAAACCTTACTGTGTGTACTTTCGTTATCTTGCTTGGTGTAAGTATGCGAGTAAGAAAGGTAAGATTTCCTCTCGATCGAGTTATCGAGATAAGTTTGAGATAATTAAGAAGTTGGAGATTGATTCGTGATAAGGTTGAAGCAGAGAGATAAATTTGTGGAAGTGAAGGTGTGTGTATATATATATGTATGTAATGTGAGGGATATCGTTTGAGTTGTCTCTCGAATTTGTCCGTGAATAACTCGTCACGAATATGGATACATTGGAGGAATGGAGGCCGGTCCTCGATCACGAATTTTTACGGATGATTCTCGATGACTCGTTCGATTCTTTCGGTTTAATGATATTAACGTTTCGTGCGGTTAATGCGGGAAAAAAAATTTGAATTTTAAATTAATAAAAAAAAAAGGAAAAGAATCGAGGAAGAAGTATGTCGAAAAATAATTTTTCAAAAAGAGGAATCATCGGAGAAGGAAATTTGTTCGAAAAATAAAAAAAGTGGTAATCGTTTCAATTTGTCGTGTCCTCGATTTGTAACAAAAATAAAAATGTATAATTCATAACGAATCTTCGATGATCTTTCGAACGCAAATAGACGTTCAAAGATTAATTATAAACCGTTCGATAATTCATTCGCTTCGAGTTATTTATTTATTCACGTTGATCGATTCTTTAAAAAAAGACGTGAGAAGAGAAAATGATTTCTTGCACGGAGAGAAAGAATAGTCGCGTATCGGCCGTCCGTCAAACCGCCCGTCCCTCTTGGTCGAAGTCGAGCGATGCCCGCTCTCCATCCCAAAGTTTCAAATTTTATTTTCATCGTGATCGAGTACATGAGAATTATCTGCAATATTCACGTCCCTTTCGTTAGTATAAACGATATCCCATTTAGATTAAGAAACCGGCATTTTGCATTAATCGAATATTCATAATTTAAATAAACAATCGTTGTCGTTGGAACGTGACTATCTTGTATTCCTCGACGTGTTGAGTCACGAAGAACCGCTCGAGGAACAACAACTGTGAAAATATTCGAAGGAAAAATCAAAGTTTCGCGAGAATTGCACGTTCTTGTCGAGTTAAGGTACGTGACGATGATGACGTTAATATTTTGCATAGGTGCTGGAGGAATCGGATACGTCGTCGGAAATAAGTTGCAGGAAGGATGCTTTGAATCTCGAGAATGGCGATTTCAAAACGTCCATCGAGAAAGCGATCACGAAACTTCCCAGGATACAACACTTGGTGAGTGATAGAATAAATTTCTCTCTCTTTCTCTCTCTTTCTTACGAAAATATAAAATCATTTTTTCATAAAATATTAATTTTAATCCAATCGATTAAATCGAAAAAAAAATGTTTATTATCGTTATAATTGGATTGAAACGATTAAAATTACTTTCGATTCGTATTATAATTCATAATTTTAATTTTCTACAACAATTCGAAAACGCTTCGTTAAAAAGCAGATAGTGTAGAAAATAATACGTAATCTTTAACGACTCGTATCTTGCTTCTTATATCTCACGGTCTCTCAATTAACACAAAAGAATCGAAAAAAGAATGCACAGAAGATTAATCGATCAATTCGACCTTGCTTTATTCTTCTCCAACTTCTCATTAAGAAGCAATCAAGTGTAAAGTGATATTTTATATTATACAATACTTGTACAAGAGATGCTTTTATAAGCATCTTATTATGTAACTCGATTGAAACAAAAGGATCGAGAAAAGAAGAGAAAAAAAAAGAAAAAAGAAAAAAGAAAAATCGTCGAGTCATAGAGAAATTACTGGTTCGGCCCGCTCATTAAAAAATAATCGGCTCGAAGGAACGATAATTCAGAAGAGAGCGGAATGGAGAGAGCAATTCTGCTTCTCGCCCGGAGTCGCGGTACATCAAAGGGAGGATGTGCCGCAGATTTATTCGTCAGGCATTTTTAAATAATTATCGTTGGCGATACGATACGATGTACCTTCCAACCACCTTCTTTCTTTCTCCCGTTCCAGTGTCACGAAGCGGAGAAACCACCGCCCCCTTCGTCTCAAGAATCCAGATGGGAGTTTCCTAGAGATAAGCTTAGGTTACAGACGGTCCTCGGCCAAGGAAACTTCGGCCAGGTAAGGCGTTAAGGTCTTCCATTTCGCGCAGGACAGGAACATTTTCGAGGTGTGATAATAAATCGCGTTGGCGCGCGAAAATTCGGCTTGCGAATGGCAAGCCTTCTTCCTCTCTTGATTAAATAACGATGTTTCCGTTGTCTTGAATCAAATCGATCGAATCTCTTGAAGAGATATTGATTCTCGTCGATATTGATTATTGATATTATCGATCGTACTAAAAAAATTCCTTTAAGAATGTAAATTTCAGTATATAATTCGAGGAATTGGCAGCAACGTAATGGATTTCGTTTTTTTTTTTTTTTCTTTTTTCTAAGTAAACGTTCGAGTTACTTTTAATCCTCATTAATTCTAAGATTCCTTGCTGGCTTCGTCGATTATTTGCAGTGGATTTTATTATCGCGTAACCGTTCACTTTTTTCAGTGATTTATAAAAATTATCTTCTAATTGGGAAAGATTTAATTGTTTTGTAATAGGTCTTAATACGATTTCAATGGGCGAGAGAGTTAAATTAAAAGTTGTTGTTGTTGGAAAAAATTCTGTTCTGTAATTAATAATTGCATAATAATTTCACTTATCTGATATGTTACACTTAAATCAATCGTTGAACCTAGTTTCACGCAACCGACGAATCTTATAATTAAAATCCTATTAGAAAGTTGAAATGACTTTTTATCCTCTCTCTCAGGTGTGGAAGGCTGAGGCGGATGATTTGACAGGTCATCAAGGGACGACCCGGTTGGTGGCCGTGAAAACGGTCAAAGAGGGTGCTTCCGAACGTGAGAAGGAGGATCTGGTTCGAGAGCTGGAAATCATGCAACAGCTTGGCAGCCATCCGAACGTCGTCACTCTTCTGGGTTGCTGTACGGAGCAAGGTAATTTCGCCGATTTCAATTTAATTCCGATAATTAGCTCCGAAACTCGTATCGTCGATCGATACGATCAGTTTTCTTTTTCCGAAACGATAAAAAGTTGAAACGAGAAAAAAAGAAAAATGCAAATTGACATAGCGCTTAACACTTATTACTAGTCGTTAAACAAGCCAAGTTAAGTGTCGTTTTTTGCATATGTATGTCCACATTATTAATTCACGTGTCATTTATTTTTGACCTTGTCTCGTTTGCTCTTGACTTTAGTTGTGCACGAGCAACGCCACGTTCGTTTGCAGAGATTGTGCAAAATGCACGATGATTAAGTAATCAAGCATCCAAGATGGATCCTCGCTCGATCGAAAACTGACATTTCACGATACCAATCCATCTACGTCTTCGCGACAAACGGAACATTCCTCTCCGAAGACGTGATATTGAACGTGACATGCACGTGGTAAAATCGTGGTGCAAAATTCTCCCTAATATTCCCATTGTCGTTAGAATCTTTTCTTTTCTTTTCTTTTTTTTTTTTTCTAATTTCTCCTTCTTCTTTATCTTCTTACTCTTCGACGCAGGCCTAAAAGAAATTTGCGGATCATTCAATATCGTTGTTTCGAGCATCTGATTTAACGATCACACGGTGTGAAAAACATTAGAAAATTATAATCTCCTTTTCCACGATTATTATTTTTCGTGAGTCGAGGAATCGATCGTGTGAATAATAATAATAATAATAATAATTCACACATTCGATTCGCGCAGAATCGCGAAAACTACGATCACGATAATAACTGGTTTCGATAGCCTCTCAATTTTATCTCCTCTGGCTGGCGCATCTTCGATTATTTACGATTTCGTGTATTCACCATCCACCGATCGTATCGCCGTGAAACACGGCGTAATGCATATTGAAGACGTCGTTAGGGGATTAAAGAAGAGAGAGACAGAGAGATGCATTCCACGTCATTGAGTCACTCGATAGACATTTTTCTTTTTTTTTTCTTCTTCCTAGTCTCCGTTTTAAATGGTCATCGTGATCATTTATATATATATACACTATTGTTTCGTGGATAAAAAAGGAAGATCGATGGAAGATGGTAATGGTGTGGAAGAATCGACTGTTTACGTGCCATCATCTACGCTTGCAATTGAGTAATAGTCATTGCGCACTGCCTCCGCGAAATCGGAGGGATCGATGAATTTCTATGCGTTTGAATGATGGAGGCAGTGGTCGATTGAATTAGATTTTTTTAATTCGTTAGAGAATAGGTGGAAATAGGTGTTCGAATAGGTTTATAGACTTTGCCAATGAATGAAACAATTAATACAACGTTTCCTTTCTATTCTATTTATTTTAAATTTGTTTGACGAAAATTGAAAGAGAGTTATGCATTTTTTAACGAATGAGAAAAAAATTACACGGAATTCGAATTTTGCATCCGCAAATTGCACGAAATATACATTTCTGTTCAATATAAATCAATTACGACACGTATTATTTACGTATTATTTATTACGAGTTATATAGAGTTTTAATTTCACAATTGTTACTCTGAAAATTCTCGGTGTTAATAGCTTTTTGTTTGTTTATAGGCAATCAGTGTCTGATTAATTGAGGTAATAAACTATTACATCGATACAAGATAGCTAAATAATCATTGTTTCCGACAATGATCGCAATCGTAAAATAAATTGCAATTGTGTTTTCCGTTTTTCCAGTTGTCGATTAATGCGCAGTTGCACACTCACGAAACCGCGTCAAAATGTATATAAAATATATGAAAAAACAAATGAAAAGAAAGAAAAAAGGAAAAGAATGATCACCTGTTTCAACACGATAAACCAAGTTGTTCTGGAAAGTTTTTGTTGCATCGATGGATTACAAAGAAAGTCTCGAGCGTATGGAATAATTATTGGAAAAAACATAAATAAAGAATTAAAAAAGAAAAAGATAAATAAATAAATAAAAATAGAAATTAAAATGACTTTTCTAATTAAGATGTCAGGAACGAAAAATCAAATCTTGAAAAATTAGAAGAAAAATAAATAAAGTCAGGTATAGAAGTTGAGGTGATTTTTTTTTTTCTTCTTCTTTTTAATTAAGATGTCAAATAAAGAATCTCAAGAACACGTAGAACAGTTGGAAGGAAAAATAAATAAAATTAAAATGGAAGTTGATGTAACAAGTCTCCAATTAAGATGTTAGACGATGAAAATTTAGAAGGAAAATATGTAATTAGAGATAATAGATGCTTAGGATAATACTTATATAACATGATTTTTTTTATACAATGCAATTCCCATCTTCGTGTAATTCATTCGAATCGCATCACGATCTTTCACGAATGTATCAAACATTCCTTAATAAAACGTTTTAAAAATTGAAATTTTCAGAATCGAAACGAAGAACCATCCTCCTTCTTTTCGTCTACGCGACGAGATAATAGTTTGTATCTTTCATTTAAAAAAAAAAAATTACATTTTAATTTAAATTTTTTTGCGAAACACATCCCTCGCGTTACAATAAACGAGTAGTCAGTCTGAAAACGGGACGCAACGGGTATAAAATTGCATATGCACCTGATCGCACGCAGCATACTTCGTCTTATAACGATAAAATCCAATGGTTGAGACATCAAAACAGAAACGAGACAATCTGGAAGTTTTAGCCGTGGCTCGGGGGAGGGAGGCCCATTATACGTCTTTCGTTGCAAGACTCTCGTCGGTATCGTCGCTCTCATCGTATAAATTTCCATACGTGTCCCCACGGCGAAGATCCTCGTGGCACAATACGTCTATTAAGTCGAAATGATCGCTCGTAGCGAGTTTCAGAGGATACACGTACGTATCGATACGATCAGGCCCTCTGCATGGACGTCGATCTGGATTTGACGTCGTTACGGCGTTCCATCGTTATTTATGCGCCGAGTCTAGTCTTTTTCCCTCGATTGTATGGTAATATCAAGTGGCGATCTGGTCTAGTAATAGCATAAAATTTAACCCCCCCCAGTGGGAAATAGCTCGATACGTTTGGAAAAATTGCGCGATCGAGTAATAGGCGCGCGAAATTTATGGAATTGCCAATCTTCAAAAATTGCCTTTTCAAGATTATAAATTTACTATTATGATTTCGAACAAGGCAGATAATTAAATTTTTAGTAGAGAGAGAGAGAGAGGAAGAGAATTTTGCGTAGCTATCAATCTCTCTATGGAAAATGGAATTTTTAAAAAAATAAATAAAATATCCTCCCTTTAAAAATTTTTTATTTGTTATTTCAACAATTACATATTATTGCAACGATTATGCAACACAAAAGAAAGAAGTTCGAGCTGAAAGTTTTTAATAATTGTGAACGATCCTCAAGGTCCGTAGAGGACACGAAGTGTTCGTTTTGGGGGACAGGCCCCACCCCTAACGTTCTTTGAAGCGCGTAGAAGAAAGAACACGCCTGCGTGAACCAAGATTTACGGCATCTAAATTTCTCGGCCCCCGTATTTATCGTTTCGGTCATGGTGGGCAGTGGTGTTCGAATTCCTGCTGAACGACGTTTTCGTCCTTTGACGGCCGCCTCTTGTCAAAAAGGGATCCCTTTCAACAAACTAAAACGAAAAGAAGAAGGAGGCGTGTAAACAGCCTTCATCGTTTTCGAAATGGAGGGAAAAAATATTTATGATGAACTTCTCGATGTTCCAAGAATTTCGTTATTACTTTTTTCATGGGCGAAAAGAAATAGTGTATAATGTCAAGATACAAGTTGATAATTCTTGTACAAATTGATAAATAAATAACGGGAAATGCATTAGGAAAACGATAGATAAAACGAGGCAGAATGTCACGTGTCGCGATAATTATTACCGGTGACAAATCTTACCCATTTGACTGAGGCGGTGTGCCGCGCCATTTATCTGGAACTCTATTAGTCCAGGTGCAAAACACGTTGGGATTCACGAATGATTCATTCGTAAATTAACTTTGATTCACGTATTTTCTAAAATACGTGAATATTTATAAGGATCGCATTTCGAAAATGGAAAATTAATCAAAATTCCTCGCGCATAATTGCTTCTGGCAATCTGATCTGAAAATTACAATTCAAGACAATTTTACAATTATCCATATTCTTGAAGACTCTCTAAACAGAATTAGAAGCCACTACCATCTTCCTCCTCGTTCTACTTATTCATCTATTCCATTATTTCCATCTCCGCCTCTTTATCCTGTATAAATTTTCAGAGAAATTTTTTTGAGAAAGATCGTCGCCACTCCATACGTCGAATCTTCGCCTTCGAGAGCTCACGCAAATATTGTGACTCGATGCACACACGATTGATTCGTGGGGAACGAAGCGTTTCAGAAAAAGGAACGCTCCTCCTTAACAAACGAAAGTTGTTAGAGGGCGGTAATGCTGGCCTAATATGAAAGTTACGAGCTCGTGGGGGCCATAAGTTACAATCAAGCCGGATACTGATGGGGCCCGAAAGTGCTCCGGTTAAATTACTCGAAGGGCCTCCTACTCCTCAACCCTTCGCCACGGGGCCCCTCTAATCCCTGCCTTCCCCCGCTCGCCGATTTAACGCCGATCAAATTGCGTTGCAATCATGTCTCGAAACTTTCCAGATCCAGTCCCAATTAATTTTGCGATCCGCGTGTAATTTGATAATCGCGGTTTGTTGTTCGCAGAGCCTCATTATCTCATACTCGAGTACGTGATGTACGGGAAATTGCTGGCCTATCTTCGGGATCATCGCACAAGGCAGGATTTCTACAATTTCAGCGAGGACTCGGCGGCCCTCACCTCCAGGGATCTCACTGTATTTGGGTATTGTGTGGCGAGAGGGATGGAGTATCTTGCGTCGAAAAAGGTGAGATTGCGACTTCGATAACTCTTTTCTTTTTTTTTTTTTCGTAATATGCGGACCAAATCTCGAGGCTGTTGTTGTTTTAAGAGTTAATTTAGATCGTTTCGTTTTTTTCGAAAATATTACACTCCTTTTATTTCGGTATCGGAATTGGAAAATTGGGAAACTTTATGAAAATCTCGATTCTCGTTTTTAATATACGATGATATACGTACGTTAGCTTGGTTAATTTATTCGTTTTTAATGGTATTAATAAACGCGAGGCGTTCGTATTTTCAGTATCGTTGAGATATTAAAAGTACGTGGCCCCGTTTAAATTATTACCTCCCCCTATTTGTATTTCCATTACGCTTATCCCCTTTCTGGGGGCCGAAAATTTATTATGACCTTGTATGCTCGCGTGTTCGAAGGGTCTTAGCGCCGGAACCAAAACGATACAGCGGCAGTCTACTTACTGTGTAACATTATATCGAAGTATATTGCTCCCGATGTTGTTACTTCATGCCGTGTTGATCTTGTTTTTCGTTTTTCTTTTTTTTCTTTTTCGATATTTCATCAGAGAGATAGAGCTCGGGGTAAAAAATTTCAACAATTAAACTAAACGTTGTTCAACGTTTATTATCAGAAGATTTTTATAAAAATTTGCTATACGAATCCAAGTTCGTACATAAGAAAATAAATTTAACAGGAAGACCCTTAATAATATTACGAACGCATCTTGTAAAAATAGAAAGGAGAAAGGCATAAATCAAAGCCTATACAATATCGAAATCAACTCACGAAACTCGGCTTTTGAAGATCGAATGAGAGTTTCGTAAATGGCACCTAAGTGTGAAAAGATAAAAAAATCCCTCGTCCTTCGAGGTTGTCTGTACGTCACAGTTGAAGGTCGAGAGTGAAAAAGCGATGGAATGGCAAACATTCGTGTTTGCGCTTCAAATATTACGTTAACGCGGTGAAGTTCGGGACCGACTTTTCGTTTCGTCAGATGAATCTGTGTCAATGGGTAAGGATCCATAATGTTATAAGATAACAAGAATTACGCGTGTGTTAAAAATTTTATTATCCTAAACGACGACAAAATTGTTATCGCGTTTTTCCTCGAGTAAAGAAAAAAAAAAAAAGAAAATTTTTGAAGTTTTCTTCGCAAATATAATTACACGAAGTTTCTTTTATAAGATATCTATAAAAATTTGTGAAAGTGTCGAAGAATTTTTACAAACATCGAAATTTTCTAGAAATGGTCTGGTAACTGCGAGATTACGTATGCAAATTAGCTTAAAAATATATCTACGAACACGAGTTTGAAGCATGCTGAGAAGGGAATGAAGCGGTTTGTATAGCCGTCGAATTTTTTATTGCCGATTTTCGTTATTTCGAAGCGAAAAATTCGAGGATGATAATCTGACACGAATTGAAGTGACACGAATTTAAATATTATAGTTGTAACCTTTCAGTTGGCGCGTGATTCGCTTCAGAAACGTAAAATAAATATTTTTATGCATCCGACGACTGGGCTTCCTTTCCTTCAAATAATATTTCGAAGCTGTAAAATTTTTTTCGTCTATCGCATATATCGTATTCTTATTCTAAACTCGCGTTCGAACATAATTTCCGATTATATCATAAAAAAAGAAAAAAGGATATCAACACTTAATGGCGTAAAAAAAAAAAAAAAAAAAAAAAAATTGAACGTAGAATTTAAATTATATACATTTGAAAGATGTCAAAGTTAAGAAAAGTGTTTTGCGAAGTGTTTAAACACGTTTCGTTAAAAAGAAGATCTTGGCGTTCTTCGTATCGGAATACAGCCTTTCGTTTTCCTTCCGATGAATAATAATTATTGGTCGTCTGCTAACTTCGGAAGATTAGCTTTCGCGTGGCGTTCCTCGAAAAAAAAAACGATTACGCTGACGCCGGTAATTCGATATTCGTGAAAAATAAACCGCAAACGATGCATTCGTCCTTGGAAGAGAATAAAATTCTTCCGATTATTCGTCAATATTTTTTCAATTGTTTCCTGCAATGGAAATAAGCGTTATTTCTTTTTCTTTTTGCATATAAATAAATTAGCGAGTATTTGGAAAATTAAAAAAAAAGAAGAAAAAAGGAAGATTATAAAATATCTCTCTCTACGATACGAAGGTGCAGCAGCGGATTGAAAATAAGAATGTGACGGAGATTATAAAAGGGGGGATTTTTGCATAGTATGAAAATTCTTGAGAAACTGGTTTATTTAACGTTTGATATGTATATATGCTAATTTATATAAGCTAGCTAAGTACCTGATCCGTATCTACTTCATTTCCATAATTCGCTCGACTGGTTCGTGCTTCTGTCGTGTCATCTATCCCTTATAACCCACTCCAAGATTTTCTTTGCCGAAGAAAATTAGAATAACAAATCGTAACACGGCCTATAGTTAGAACATTCGTGAATCACGAAATGCAAATTATTTTTTTTTTTTTATCGACATACGATTCTCTGCGATTGAATCTATTTGATAAAAAAATAAATCATCTTCTTCGACTATCCGCCATTTCGAACGTATGCATCATTCGTTTAATAATTGTTCGGTCAAATTTACTTTTGCAACGTTTTACTTTTTTTGGAACACGAAAATTAATTCGTTGCTAGATTTTTTTTTCTTTTTTTTTTCGATGTTTCATACAAGTTTCCAAAATCCTATTACTCTGAAGAAAAAAGAGAACGAGTGCCAAACAAGATATTAATTATTGAACATCGATTACAATTAGAATCAGCGAGACGAAAGAGGCAGGAAATATTTAAACATCATCATCATCGACCGGTTACGATCCACAAATCGATACGGAATGCTCGAGGCGTTTCGAAGGAAGTTTCGATTGAAATCGGTATCCGGTGTTGGTCGTTGGAAGAACGACTTAAGAGCAACCATACAGTCAGGATTTCGATTTCAATCAAAGATTGTATACACGAGTTCGTAGAAATTCCTGCGAAGGCCGATATACATAGCAAAATTCTTAATTGAATGTGGAAGCTATATAGCTGATGCACGAACGAGATGAAATGATTTAAAGCCGTGAAACAAGTGGAAGCTTTATTGATTTAAGATGCTTAAATTATGCATTAAATTATACGAGTGTCGTTTAAATTGTTGAAATTAAAATACGGATTTTATCCTCGATGAAATATTTATCTTGATTATTATTTATGGATATTTATGCGCGCGAAATACAATTCGCAATTGCGCAATTTTTTCGATTTGGAACGAAATATTTGAGGAAGTCGTAATTTTTATATAAACCCGTCCTTCGACCTATTATATTTCGTGCGAGCATATTGGACGAGGAGGAAAAAGAAAAATACGAGAACAGTTGTTGGTTCTTTGAACAAAGCATTGTAACTGGAAAAACAATGTTTCTTTCTACAAGCACAATAAAGATAAGAGTGCATGGGCAATAAAGATGTACAAGCAGATTATTTATCACAGTGCGACACGTATATAAAAATATTGCGACTCAAAGCGAACAGAATGTCAACGTCTTTTCTTTTTCTTTTCGTATTTTGCAATAATAAATGTAACATTTAATAATCTTCTTAATATATATATATATATATATATATATATATATATATATATATATA